GAAAGATATGGACCGGACACGAATTATGAAATTTTCCTTCAAGTGACCTTGAACTTCCCCAAATGACCTTGGGTCAAGGTGATGACACACCCTTAGGTCATGAGCAATCTTAGTGTGGAGTAGTAGATTCTAATGTCCCTCTGTAAGAAAGATATGGACCGGACACGATTGCACAGACAGACGGACGGACGGACGGACAGACAGACGAACAAAGTGATTCCTATATACCCCCCCCCCAAACTTCGTTTGCGGGGGTATAAAAATTCAAGGGACGATAAACAACACACCAACAAACAAACTTCACCAATTTGCCTGCCCCAGGAGAAAGTTGAGGAAGCAACAGTCATCTCTGCACCATCTAACAATGCTTTAGAAGTACCAGTCCCGTACGTGGAAGATAAGCACCGAGGTAGACTAAGGATAAGAAAGGAAAATCGAGAAGTAGGAGCAACAGTGGTTCGCGTAGGGATATAGAGAGAGTACGAAAGATTAAGAGAAAGACCACATCAAGGTCACAGACCCGTCTCCTTGATGACGTTGTTGGACACCTGTTTAATGTGGGACGTGGATACCGGTCCTTCGGATGAGACCGTATAAACCGAGGTCCCGTGTCGCAGTAGGTGCTGGCACGAAAAAGATCCCTCCCTGCTCAATGGCCCTGAGTGCCGAGTATAGGACAAAATTTGCAACTCTCCACCGGCAAATGGTGGCGTCTCCATATGATTGAAAAATTCTCGAGAGGGACGTTAAACAATATACAATCAATCAATCTTGTTTGAAGAGGGTAACGGAATCAGCCGAGGTGTGCCGAAAGATCTCGGCCAGCCAAAGTTTACAGAGATGACCGAGCGACAACCGTGGTGCCAGTAAAAGCTAATGTAGAAAAACAAAATCAAGAAATTCAAAAGAATAATACGGCCTGTTAGGTGTAGATCAGTTTACTGTTTAAGGTTGTTACTTAAGACGGTAAGCTTTTTTAAAAAGCTCTACTTGTCTTACATCAAAAGTTAATTCAATGACACGGGGACCTGGTTTACAGACGAATGCGAATGCTGTTAGTAATGCCGAGAGTCAACTTGGCCAAGAAAGAACGTCCGCGACCACTACTACTAGTTCTCGACCCCGGAGAACAACTATACGTTTGACACAGGTTTTGCCCGCATTTCAGCATCAACGGCCGGCGCAGCGGAACAAATGACGGAACTCCGAAGAACCCCCTTTGGATTTTCGGCTAAGTCGGGTCCCTTCCTTTGGTGGAAATGATTTCACCGCAACTTCGTCAACAAATCACAGCAGGTAAGGACGCCAATTTAGCGTCACTGTTAATTCCTTACTACTCACCTCCGATGAAAAAGAGGAAAATAAGAAGCCTGATAAAAGACTTACGTTCTCTTACTATTGGAGAATTTATCCAGGCTTTTGGGATATATAAAAACATTATGGGCCAAGCATACCCCCAGAGAAGACAAGAGCTAAATTTATACGAATTTTTTCTCCCTTTGTAGATCTTATGTTAGAATGTATGTTTTCCTGTGCATATTTTGGGTTTCTTGAATGTGAACAAATTACCTTCAGAAGGCTAATTCTGAACATTTTTTTTAAATTACAGATGTCAGTTTTGGAAATGCTGTTGAGAACTTCAACAAGAGGCCCATGGGCCACATTGCTAACCTGAGAAGCTTTGACCATTCTGTTCTTTACCAGATTTCCCCCTTGTAATACATTTAATTATCCAACTGGAATTTCCTAGGTACACATCAATGGAATCTTTTAAGGATTGTAATACATGTATAAACAAGCAAAAGCATTATCCCTGTTTAAATGACTCAAAGACAATTTTATTTTTAACAGCTTAGGAAATTAATGATGTTTACAAGCTGAAAAATAATTTACATTGGAGCACAATTCAATTTGATTGTATGTTCATGATTACTAGTTCATTGTAAGTAAACTAACATTTTTTATTAAATCGACAGATATGTCGCTCCACAAGTTCTGACTTTGGGACATGTTGGTACGAGGATGCAATTGGGGCAGGACAGTTCACCATGGCAGCCTCACGACTCTTTCTGGACTCACTGTATGAACCAAATTCTAGCCTCACTTTGATCACCTCTTGCATTAAAACCATTGCATAATCTGTAAAAAAAAAAACAACAGAGAAATAAATTATAACAGATCTAAAAGGAATAAAGTTAACTTAAAAGACAAACTAATATATACTAAATGTATTAAGTTATATGACAGTTTTATAAATTTTACTTACTGTATGTTTGTTTAACTTTGACTTCCTTTGGGATGCCAGCTCCATTTCTGCCTTTGGGATATGACACAGAATAAATCAGTTGTCCATTTTTGTTCACAGCTTGATCCCGGCTGGAGTTCTCGTTAAAGTGAAGGGTTGCAATGTATATTCTGAAAAAGAGAAGAACAGTGTCATTCGTGATTTATGATTAAAATCTTTAAAAACATTTTTAGCATTTGAGTTTTGAATAAAAGGAGAAAATACTTACCTGGCCTTCATTGCACCATAACAGAAATGCAGAGCTTTAGATGCAAAATGACACACAACATTGTGGTATGCTTCCAGGGCTGAAGTTTGCTCTGCATGGGAGAGTTTCTTGATGTCTTGTACCAAAAGTCTGCCATTAACAACCTTTTCCATCTCCTGGAAAGCTAGGCTACCTGAAATAAGGATACAATTTAGTAGTTTAGATCAATAGTGCTTCATACTAATGTACTAACTTATAATGTATATCTGCAAACTAGGGACTCAGAAATGTTTTCGTTATTTTTCAAACCCATGCTTACAAAGTTACCTTTCTTAATCCAATCTCTGTCCTCCAAGTCACCATGTAAGCACTTGGGGATTCGCTTTCATGACCCTCGTGAACATTAGTGATATGGTTGAGGATAGACAGCCATTTCTCAGAAACTAATTCACCATCTCCTTCGCTAGATGCCGCACACCAGTATAGGTGGTTTGAAACTGACCGTGACCAATCACCCACTTGCTTGTACTTTTTTTTCTTCCCAATAGCCTCCAACTTTTTAAACACCCCTAAAAAACCACAAATCAATTATTTAATGATAACTATATAGAGTTATTCAGTTTAATAACTTCAATGAGGAATACCCAATGAATTTTAGATTGTATGAAACAAAAGTGTATCATGTAAACTGAGTTTACCTTTGGCCATATGCCACACATCAAACCAATGGTTGATATCACTTCTTTCTTTTTTCATGTAAGCTTTAATCTGGGGATGTCTGTCAGTAACGAGGTCACTAATAACTACACCCTCCTTTTCCACTTTCTTAAGGCACCTTGTCAAACCCTCCATTTCCATCCAATAGGAGCTTTTGACTTCATTGCTCTATACAAGTTAAGCATATATTGTTTTGAGAACTCGAACCATATTAACACATTTTAAACATAACATATTCAGTGCTGAATGTTGAACTAATATATGCATGCAAGTGCAGTAAAGTAAAATATAGCAAACAGAGGTTCTGCATTCTTTTTACCTGAACTAGTTGAACATCAAGTATCTGTCTCAGCTCCAGGTCCATCAAACTATATGATCCATATTTAGCCGTCCTGGTGAACAGCATCTAGCATCTCCTCCGACAACTACAGCTACGTTCTGTTGTCTTATTACATCAAATATTGCATTTTGATGTGCTCTCCAAACCCTTTCAACAGCTGGTACAAGATAATGCTGTTGGATGTTGTGATAGGTTCTCTCTGAGAAACAGGATATATTGGCATGTTGAAACATGGTCAAACTTTGATTTATGCTGCTGCCACTAATCAAAATTGCTGCTGCCAAAATCAAGTTTCCAGTAGGAATGGATCCAGTCAAGGGTTGTGATCCCCATGTGAAAGTCTCCCCACAGGCACATACCCTGGACAAAAACAACAGAGTTCCAACTATGGTTTTCTTAATGTCACACTTACGTCCGCACATTGTACAAATCTGGAGAAGCTGGTCTAAACATTCTTCAAACACAATAAATTTTCTGCTATAGTGACTTGGAGGAACATCATGATGATCTGTGTTATTGTTTTCATCAGTATCTGGTGGAATCCATTCTGAAACTTCAGAATCTGTGCTGACCAGTGACTCAATGCTCTCATCAAGGTCCGCAGGTGCATCCCATGTAAGCAGTGTTTCAGTTTGGGTACCACAGGATTTTGTACTGGGTTGAATCTCTGTCTGTATAGAGACATGCCTGCGTTTCTAAAATTCATGAAGTAAAGTAAAAATAAGACATTTACAAGTGAAAAAAATTATTTAATTAAATAATTGTAATACGTTGATAAATTCAAAATGTTCTATGCCAAGTGGCAAATCAATACAAATGTAACAGAACTTACCACCAACCCATAAGTAGTTTGTGAAGACATTTCAAAAGTCATTGTGTCGCTTTGACAGCTGGTTTCTGTGTTTAGAGTTTCTGGACTGTCCTGAAACTGGCTAGGAGGAGGAAGAATAATCTCTGCATCTTCGTAAAGGTTCTGAGTTTGTATAAGATTAAAAAATATAATTAAAGTTTACCATAGTGATTAATTTTTCAGTACATGTAACTATTAGGGCTGGGACGATACAACTTTTTCTATATCGATACATATCACGATATTTGAGCCACGATACGATATGTATCACGATATGTTTGATTGCTGATAAATTCTTTTTTTGCATTGAAATAAACAAATTATTTCTTTGCAAATAAGAATAATTTATTCAAAATAATTGTTTATATATTGTAAAACAAAAATATTTTGCTCAAGTGGTGTTAATTATTATTTATTTCATATCTATATTTATATTTAGCTTATTTATTTTATATAATAAACCCCAAATGTTAAATAAACAAAGAAAAATAGAAGTAAGATTTTTTGGGGCGATATTCCGATATTTCTTCATATGTATCGATATGCGTATCGTCCTAACACGTATCACGATATATCGATATCTCGATATATCGTCCCAGCCCTAATGTTCGGTGATGCAGGTTCCTCCTCCCTCTTCAATCCTTGACTCAATGTCAGCATAAAAATGGCAACATTTGCATTCTCTTGCAGTTGGCATAGAAATGCAGTTTTTACAGGAACACCTGCACCCAAAAATTAAAAATGATTCCCTCACAACAAGTGTGTAAATTAAGATTACCTTTCATTATGTTTAAATTATTTTTGTAAAATCCCTTCACTTTGTTTAAATACTTATATTTTGTTCAATCTAAATTGTTTATACAAGAATTAAATCACCACATATATCTTAAATGGCTTTTTCAACTCTTAAGTATTTTTTTTTTTTATTTTTGTCCTTCGTCGCTGTTCAACAGCCATCCTTTTGCTTCTTTTTCATTGTATACATGTGTATACAAATACAGGGCAATATGCTGATATGCACATGTACGTTACATGATAAACTCTTAATCCTAGAGTCAGCATACTTAAATCTATTTCTAAATACAATATTCATAGACTTTTTCTGTTAATAATTTCAAAAACTTTTAGCTAACACTACGTTAAGATACATGTATGACTTTGTACCAGTGCATGTCTGAAGGTAGGTGTTCATCGTCGCTATGGACGCTGCCTTGTGCCGACTGCCCCGAGTCACTTTCATCATCCAGTGGCTGTCTTGCTGTCTCTTGTCTTTTAACTGGCTCGTATTGATACGGCTGCAGAGTCATTTTAATAGTTAAGTCGATTTCTGGTATGCTTTCGTCCGTGTCACTTTCGGTAGATTCGTACAGCATGGGCGACGCCATGTTCCACTAAAGGGCAGATAACTCATATCGGACCGATCTACCTGAGTTTCGTATTTGAGAAATTTTACCTGTGTATCACCGGGGTAAAAAAAAAATAATCATGGTACAATTTTTGTTTAGGTATCAACTCCCCAAATAATAAGTTAAAACAGGCTTTAAGAACCTTTTCAGTTGACCTTTAATTTAAATGATCCTAATATTGCAGCATTGTTAAGGCCTAATTTATAGATAGTTTTCATATGACCTAATTTTAGCAAAAGTTAGCTCCCGTTGGCCGCCATACTGAAAGGTCCAAATGCTCATATTCCTTCATTGTTCAACCAATTTTAAATTTTTATATTTGCGATTTTGAATTAGGAATCATTATTTTTTTTTGGAAGTATATAAATTTTTGGAAGCCTCCTTTATTAAGAAAAAAATATTTAATAAAAAGATTTTCTACTAAATATTTCTGCTATTTTTTCTTAAACTTGGTAAGACAAAGAGGAAAACTCACCGTGTCGACCTCCAATATGGCGACCGACAGGAGGTAACTTTTGCTAAATTTGGATCCATCGAAAACTATCTATACGGGAAAAGTTTACTGTGACGTCACAAAAAATATGACTTTTATGTATTTCTCATAATACCAGAAAATGAAATAACTTGCAACTTTAAATTGCTTAAGCATAATAAACAATAATAAAACTTATCAATGGATTTTAAAAAGTTGCTAGTTAAATTCCATACAGCTGGTCATAAACAGATCACTGATCTCGATGAACTTGTCAATCATGATATCATTTTGGTAAAAATGACGTATTTCATATGCTGTGAGAGGCAGATTAAGGAATTTTTTAACAAAGAAAAATGTGTTTTATTATAAAACAGAATGTTATTTACAGGTTTTAAATAGGCTACTAATACCAATATATATTGTTAGTTCAGTGCGATTATTCATTAATTATCGAGAGAATGTATTTAAATAATTTTGTCGTGTTTTTAAGTTCAGGTTAGGTATATTTTACATCGAGGTGCATCATTAAAGCGTTCTTTCGCAAGGGCATACACTAAATAAATCTTAACCAATTTTGGATTTTAAACAAAGGATATGTTCCTTAACTTGAAAAGTGCTGCTGCTTTCTTTAAATCGAGAGTGTAACTTTATAAGTACACAAAATATTTGGTAAAATTCAAACACATTTCGACATGGGCCTATTTACTTGAAATTTTAACTATTAAAACGCGAAATCTATTCAAAGCAGCAGCACTTTCCAGAAAGTACAAAGTATACAAAAACAAAATCTTGAATTTTTAATTTCAAATAGGGTATGCACTTGCGATATTGAAATTTGTTAATGACCTACATTCAGTATACGTATACTCAATTCTCATTATATCGCGGGTTTCGTTGTATCGCGGTATGTTGCAAACATTTGGATACATAGCCATTATTCTTTTTATTGAAGGACACTATGTTTATGTTGTCTGAATGTTTACTTTTTTGATGATTAAGAAGTATGGAACATCCGTTTGAAAAAAATATAAAAAAAAACACGTAACTTTACAGATTTCCAGTCACGTTTTTATTATTTTTAACCATTAAATTTATAACTAGTAAAAATTATACTATAATTCATCTTTTAAATGTCATAAGTTTGTATATTTGTTTACTTTTCCTGTAGAATTACATCGTAAATTCAAAAATAAAAATTGAGGTCCATGTCGTCTACAAGTTTCCATGTTTTCCCATACCGCGATACAATGAGACTCTCCAATTTAGGAGGTAAATAAGACTTCCTGTTTTAAAAATAGACAATAACTTAAACGATGCAAGCTTTGGAAATAATTTTACACTAAAAAGTTAGTCCATAGATTGGTTTATGAATATTTTTTTATGAAAGTTAAAAGTAAAAAATTGGAATAACACTTTTTATGCAAAAGGATTAAGTACCGCGATATAATGAGACACCAGTATACTATGCATTCATCACGTGACTGTCCATCGATGGGACCAAACTTCGTACAGTACAGAGTTGGATATACTATGCTATTTTCAAAAGTATTTAAGTTCTTTCATAATAAAACAGCTGAAAAAAAATAAATTCAGTTTTAAAAACAAAGCCTGTTTTTGCACTTCTATTTTTCGTTGATTTCTCATAGTTAGCCTTAACAGTGTAGTGATATATAGACACTTGTGTAGACAATATCCATTAAATAAGATCTATACACACAAATATATGAAGTCACTAATACCCAGATGTTATCAAATTTACATATCATCAACAGCATCAATATATGCTAAACATTCGATATTCTGAAATCCACCCACCATCCCAAACTAACATATAACCCATTAAAAAACATATATACATTAAACCTAACTCTTATCACACCTGACTACTGTGGATTTAATCTTTAACAGGTCTGGACGATTTCTAAATAAGGAAGTCAAGAACGATATCTGTGAATTGCTATTAATACACGGAATAAACAAAGTACTAATCCTTCTGACCAATCAGATAACAGCATTTAGACAAACCCATTAGAAAATAAATAAAACACGTGGTTTTTAAGTTTTTTGCTCAAAAGATTTTTTAGAACAAACTTTTTGTAAACTTTATGCGCATTTGGGAATAATATAATATTTATGACAATTCTACCGTGAACAAACACGACTTGAAAGCCTAGAATACGTTTTAAATGGGATAAAAAAAATCTGTCTCTAGGAGGTAGCAATCCCAAAAGTTTAACTTACAAATGTACGTGAAAAATTAGATATAAATACGGTAAATTTTCAGTTTTTAGAGCCTGACATAAAAATCTTATCGAAAAGATGTCAGTCTTTATCATTTTTGAATGTTTATTACAGAATAGTCCATGCAGTTTCTGATATGCGAGGTAATATATTGGGATAAAACGCATTCATAAATAATTACAGGATTCTCTTTTCTCCACGTTATACGCCTTTTCTTATGCCCATTTAAAGTTTGCATAGCTAAGTATTCGGCGCTCATGAAACACGTGATAATTCAAAACTATATGTGTATAGTCCATACGATATAAACACTTGTGTGAGTTGATCTATACACGTGGAATTTAAAGCATTATCGATGAAAATCGGACGGCTAAACAAAATTATATTTACCATCATATAATATATTGTGGTAAATGTTATAACTGAACTCGATAAAAACTTCTTGGTGCAATCTATTCCTCTGTAAACGATTACATTCTATCGTGCATTATTTTTTTTTCTTTACCGAGATAAAAATGTCATGGTTGTTCACGGTAAAAATGTGGGGAATACCTTATTCTTCAAAAGTTTTCATCTTACTTCTACAGATTTTTTGTTAAAAAACTATATGTGTATAGTCCATACGATATAAACACTTGTGTGAGTTGATCTATACACGTGGAATTTAAGCATTATCGATGAAAATCGGACGGCTAAACAAAATTATATGTACCATCATATAATATATTGTGGTAAATGTTATAACTGAACTTGATAAAAACTTCTTGGTGCAATCTATTCCTCTGTAAACGATTACATTCTATCGTGCATTATTTTTTTTTTCTTTACCGAGATAAAAATGTCATGGTTGTTCACGGTAAAAATGTGGGGAATACCTTATTCTTCAAAAGTTTTCATCTTACTTCTTAAGATTTTTTGTTAAAAAAATCTTTTTGAGGAAAAAAAAAAAACAAAAGCACATGTTATCTTTTTGTTCTTTTAAAATATGTTTTGGGGTGTGCAAAAATGCTGTTGTCTGACTGGACAGAAAAATAATTACGTGTACTTGATGTACATTTATAGCAACTTTCGGTTATCGTTCTTGACTTCCATATTTAGAAATCGTCCAGACCTGTTTAATGGGGAAACGGATCTGGACCGTGATCTCCTGAATAAGGTGTCTGCATGCTCGTGTCGTTCTTTCTCTGCGTCTCTCTTCTGTCTGGTTCCTCCTGAATGATGGGGCCCTGCCTCTGGTATTCAGGCGCGGTCGGTACCACCCTCAACCTCGGAGTGTAGGCCTCCTACGAGATCTCGCACGGATGGGCGTTGCGGGTCTATCTTCTGGCTTGGGGGTAAGTCCTCTCTTTGGACCGCAACTATAAGAGTAATCCGTAAGCGTTTTCGTCAACTAGCGTATCGCTGTGGTCTGTTCGTTTATCGCCTCAACCGACTTGCATTTCTTTTATTGCATCCACCAACTCTGACTTTCCTACACTCAGTCCCGGCTCCTCTTCACCCAATGGTTGTGGTAATATGTCCACCACCTCTGGAGGAGGGGGGGGGGGGCTCAACACTGGTGTGGGGTGGATTAAATCCGCCGCCTCCTCCAAGAGTGTGGTCAGTGGGGTCTCCTTTTCTTCAGTGCAGTCTTTCTTGGTGCTCATATTGATCCAATAGGCAAAGGAAGTTGCCTGCTCCCATCGAAATAGGAGGTCACCCTTCCAGACGAATTACTTTGTAGCCCTAAAGATCTCCATCTGCACGTCCGTCCCCTTGTGTGGACCGTACCACTTGCCGTGGGATAATAATTCTTTCTCTGTCACACAATCACAGAACTTGCAGGTAAAGGGGACTTCCCCTTTAGCTACATGGCTTTTTAAATAATGTTTTAGAGCGTACTTCTTGATCTGCTTAAAGTCGCATGGAGTACATTGGAACACTCGTCCCTTTTTCTCGGCCTTAGCCACATCCATGATGATACTGCAAAATTACAGACAAGTATTAGGTAAGTATGAATCTATTTTCTCATTCTAAAAGGTTCCTTGCCAACCCGTAGAAGTAGTCTGTTTCACGAAAGTAAAAGTATTATGTACGCTAATGTATTAAATTTTTTAGAACTACATAGAGAAAATACGTGTATCGACTGGTATTTGTAAAAAAAAAAAAATATTTCTGCCATTCATCCATCCTTCATTCTTGGTTGAGGATCAATATCGTTTCAAGTTTATTTACTAAAATTATTTTGTATTTATATGTATGGTATCTCTTCTTTCTTTGAAAGTTGGTATATTTCTTTATTCAGGTATAGGTTCAGCTAATAGATGCACATGTACATGCTGCATTTAGCGAAGCAGTTCAACCAATCAAATCTATGAGGAGCAAGTCTATTGATATGGAGGAAATGGTATGGCTTTATAGGTAGCT